ACGGCGCAGAGATACAACTATTCGTACTTGCTGAATGTCCGTGCTGCGTGTGCAATATTGAAGGCGCGATAGCGCGCAGTGTGAATTTGTATACATTTCTGTTCTTGAAGTTAAAACAAATAAACTATTTGACTTTTAATTAGAGAGACTCAATTAAAGTACGTACATCTGTATTGTATTGCGGCTTTTCAACATTTCATTTAAAATTTTAAATTTGGTCAGTGTCTCCCTCCAAAAATCTAAAATAGAGGACAAGAGATTTCGAAACACTGCGATGCAGATGTGAGTGGTTTGTTTCATTCCATTCAACGCGCTCTAAATTTTCTTTCGTATACATACTAGTCACCTTATGTCACATTTTCCACCTGGATGTTAAATTTTCCACCTCTGAAAAATGAACTATTGGGAAATTCTGCAATACTAAGTGATATACGTGATTCTAGAGCTCAGCTGTCACAGTAAGGTATCATAAAGTCCTCAATCAGAATTGATACCATCATGACTGCTGAACAATGATTTTAAGACGATGGGGCCGCAGAGTTTGCACTCCACACCCAAACACACAGAAATATAGAAGACAGTCACAATTTTTAAATTTTGTGAATACAATGAGAAGGAACCGGCATTTTTCAATATCTTTTATGATGAATCTCTTTTTATGAAATATTTCACGTGGAATTTCAAGATTTTATTTCTCTTAAAATTTTGCCACCCTGCACGTGCTACGTACTGTCCATACTGCCGTGCTACGGAAGAACGTCGTATGAACATTCGAGAGTTGCCAAATTTCCCTTGATAAAACGTGTACATTTGACGCAATTTAAGCATATTTTCCCTTGAAATGTTTAGATATTTTAGATTAAATTGCGCACAAAACTGTCTGAAATTTTCGGAAAATAATATTCACAATTTTCCCAGTAATTTCGGTTTTTATCGGAGGAAATTTGGCAACGGCTGAAGGCTTATACGGCATTTTTCCTTAGCACGGCAGCATACGGTCCGTCCATCACGCAACCGAAAGCAAAAACATCGGGCGAACGCTCGAGACGAAAAACATCATATCCCAACGAAGAGGCATCCAAAGCTCCAACGAATGAAAGACGAAGGCACAACGCAACGATTGTTCCTAGCCTCCTTCCATGTTGGGAATCGTCGCAAAGGTTACGTTCTCCGCGGCGGGCGGGGGAGCGGGGGGCTGCCAGATGCAAACGTAGGGGGGACCGGGA